CTGGGAATACTTAGAGATTTCATCGTAGAATGGCGTGGTTATATTCATTTGCTCTTTGACTAAAATGTTTAGCTGTATTATTGCTAAACATGCCGTTTTTGAGAATTTGGTTTTCAACTAGGTTTCAACATCCAATCACGCCATCAGGTCATTGAAAACATTAGGTCACGCCAGCTAGTTTCCTATCCATTTATTTTATTATCCATGGTGAAATCCACCTATATACAGGCAGGAACGCGGTACCAAATCTATATTTATCAACTCAACTCAACTCAATTTATTTTGCCATAAAAAAAAGAAATTTTTTATTAAACAATTTATCGAATTAGGGACAAATTTTACAAAAAATTCTCAGAAGTTGCAAACTTCCGACGCGTGTCTCGAATTTTCCGAGAAACAATGACACTATTTTAAATAAGCGTGGGGTGATCTTACTTACATTTCTCTACAAAGGAGATGGGTGAATATGAACAAAGTGAAAAAAGGAATAATTTTAGTAATTTAAACTAAAGAGAGAATTAAAGTGAGTTTAGTTTAGTTTGTTTTTTCATGTAAAAATAATTTTTGAACAAATATTTGCTTTCAAATTTTGCAAAACAAAACCAAGTAAATATATCTATGCGCAAAAAAGTGCAAGATCGCCTTGGATTATAACGCCCACGCCTCAGAGGTCTGGGAACTAGTCTGATGGAAAAACATAATCATCAAAATGGACAAGTGAACTTGGTTATGACAGTTACCACATCCTGAGTATAACTTTACAGGGTTAGCTAGAGGACCTACTTCACCTGTGTCAAAACAACATGAGTTTTGACGCCGTTTTTCAAAATAAACATTCGTGTAATCTGTATCTCAGGAAGGAAATATCATGTTTGAACTTGTCAAAACGTATAACAATGTGCCCAGGCCTGCAATGTGCCGTAAATTGAATTTAGATTAAAATAATGATAATAATAATTGATTCATACTTGACAAATACAAAAATAACCACGACGTTTCAAACGAAGGCTCTTCCTATTCCGAAGAATGAAGAGGTGCTTCAGTTATAAAGGAGCCTTACATTGGAATAATCTTAGGTTTTCAAAACGATTTTGAAACAAAAATGAGTTGAAACTGGCTCGTTAGCCATGCAATTTGGCAATGTAAATAGTATTCTGTAAATAGTTTATGGTCACGCCCCTCATGGAAATCAGCCGAAAGGTTGTTGGGCCAGCGTGAGAAAATAAAGTCTATGTATGTATGTATGTAAGGCTGTCTGGGGCCCAAACCTAACCTAACCCTTAGGGGCCATTCACAAAGGATGTCCGAGCCGAGGGGGGGGGAGGGGTGTTTGGAAAATCAGGACAAACTCGGACATAGGGGGAGGGGGTTTTAGCAATCCGGATGTACGAAATTTAAAAAAATTCAAAAACAAATTTCTTTTTCCTCTATTTTGAACTCTCCTTCCCATTGTGAAATTGGCATTTTGACTATGCGGTTAGTACTAGATTTTGTTTTAATTAGTAATTTGATATGTTTTTGTATTCACATTTATAGTTATAAAAAAGTTCTAAAAGTAAAAAAAGTTTTTACTCTTGACAACAAGGTTGCGTGAGTTTTTGCGAGGCATGGCGGATATCCGGGGGAGAGGGGGGTCACTAATTCGGACAATGTCGGACAAGGGGGGAGGGGGGGGGGGTCTGAAAATCCATCATTTGGCCGGACATCCTTTGTGAATGGCCCCTTACGAAACCTCCCGCGACGAAGGTCCTTAGCCCAAAATGTCGAAGTATGTATTTTTCAAGTAGTTGTATCATCTAGAGAGTTCGCATGCAGTTTGTATTGTTTGCTTCATATAATACAGTTCACGCAGGGAGTGGTTTCCGGCTTTCCGCCAGAACAGAACAGGCCACAACGTATATACTTTGCTGTTTGTTGCACTTTTGCCCCCAATTTCCGTGTTTTCATGTTTGTCTGTTTTAGCATGGCTGGCACACATGAAGGTTATATATCCACATGTTTCATGTACGAATAGGTTTCTCTTTCATCTTGAGCGCAATCACAAACCTATAGTTAACCTTACTGCGCCCAAAACATGAGGAGATAACCAGATAAAAACAAGGTCAATGAGGCAAGAGTGTAATAAACAGCACAGTCAATAGACCTTTTCCCTTTTGAGTGAAATTTTGATCTAGACAAGTCTGGACAAAAATTTCATCACAGCTTGAAAAAGAGCATCACAAAATTAGTAATATTCCGAAGTTTCGTTGCGAAATGTTGGAAAATGCGGATAATATAGCCTTGCGAAGTTTGCCGTTTTTCAGTCATTTGGTATTACAAACCGGAAATTGATAATCAGATGATCAAACTGATGCAAAATGTTAGATTGTAATACAAAATGACTGCAATAATGCACGGAAAACCGTTCGGTATTCTTTTATTAGTGTGGATGTTGCCTTTGTTTCTATATATTGTCATTGGATACGCAAGAACAACTGCATTCGCAAGAGGGAACCAACTAGAACCTCGTCAAAACAAGTACTTGATTACGTTGCGAAAAGTTTGAGTTATCACTTGTGTTCTCTACTAAGCAAAGATAAACTGATTATCCGATATCTTAATGGTTTTCATGTAATTTACACCTCGCTATTTCCTGTACATTTCAAAATATAACAAGACGTTTGATCCATGATTGATGAGCCATCTTATGTTATCTACCGAAATATCTTGCATCTACTCCAATATCGTAACGCACAATCGAAAAATCGTCTGTTTTGCGAATGCATGTTTTTATTTAATCATGCATGACAACATCAACTGTTATAGCCCATACATCCTGCTTAACGATTTTGAAGATTAGGGCGAGAGGTGTATTCCAGGTACCATGAAATCTAGGGGTGATACATGGAGATTGCCTCGGTTTAATTTAAGGGACTGGTCATTATTTATGGCGGGGGGTGGCACCGAAGAGAAAAGGGTTGGGTATGAACAACATTTTGAGTAAGTAAAAGGTTGGGTAAATGAAAAACAAAACAACTCAAGGGTTGGGTAATAAAAAATTATTGTCATTTCCAAAGTATGACTCACTGAAATATTGGAGACTAAAAAGCATGTGTAAATACAATATGTGAATCAATCAGAGTCACTATCTGTCATTTTCCGATTTGTTGGGAGACAAATGCATGGTATCTCCAATTTAGAAACCACATGTGCAGACAATATGAAACTTTAGACGGCAGAACATTTCACAATCCGTTGTCAAACTCATGTCACAGAAGTGGTAAAGGACATGTGTGACAACTGAATGGTATCCTTTTGTAAAGTTTTTGGCCAGGGGTGGGTATTTATTTTTTAATTGATATTTGAGGTTGGATAATCAAATTTTTGACTTTTTGGTGGTTGGGTCAGCAAAATTTTTCCCACGAAAAACATTTCTCTTCGGTGCCACCCCACCCCCCACCCCCATAAATAATGACCGGTCCCTAAGGGCGCGCAATGGTGCCAACTAACCTGCGAACGGGCATGCCCTGGACGCGCAAAAATGCGGGCGGGAAGCGATGCATGAAAATGGTCTTGAACTAACAATCACACCTGGCTTGCACGTATCTAATCAGCGTACATACGAACCGCGAAAATTTGGGAAAGTCTAGTGTCTAAGTAATCACCAAAGGCACAGCCCAACTATTTTCAGCCTGGGTGCGTAGTACATTTATTTACACAAACATAAAATACCGAAATTTTTCCTACTACTGTATTAAAGTAACATATAAGAAATCCCAATTGATATAATACACTACTAAGCATTATGCATATTTATTCCATATTAGTAAAAAGACATTTCACGATGTGCCAGTTTCTTCGGTGAACGTAGCCTCGCTTTCACGTGTTTTTTCTCCTGAGTCGTCGACAGTTGCACCACCGGTGTCCTTAGAATCAAATTCCGTATCATCATTCTCACGATATCCATCAGGGTTTTCATCATAATGTCCATCTTTATCCTGCTGTTCACTGCTATATCCCGTGAGGTCCTCTGTTTTCTCTTCATCTTCTTGTCGCTGTTGGGATTCGTCCGGACCATCTTGGGTGGTAGTCGTGTCGTCTGGTTCCACACCTGAACAACAGTGTTAGTGTGTCAGGTTTTTTTCTGAAGCTAATACAACAGTGACTACCATTTGGCGAATAAGCTAACACACGTGCACTAACCCGTGTGCAAACCCTCATTATTTATGGCGACGTTTGGGATACCACTAACTCGAACCGACTTGACCTCGTAGCTCAGTTGGTAGAGCATTGGACTTGTATCCCAAAGGTCGCGGGTTCGATTCCCACCATGGTCAGGCTAACTTTTCAGCTTGCCAAGTGTGTCTCTCAGAGAGTAACACCACAAACAACATATTTACCTGAGTACATCACACCAACACACACACAAAGTAGTTAAAGTACTCAGAATAACTGGATTAACTTCATGTGAGGCAAACAGGAACTATATACCACAACTTTAGTTTAACAAACGTGCGAAATAATAAGATAAGAATATATAACAATACCTTTGTTTATTCTGTCCTGGACGTCACCAATTGCCTTTGCAATGGCGATCTCAGCGGCTTTGTCGTCTAAGCTTTCGGCGATCTCACGAGCATTTTGAAACGAGTCGAGTGATGCTTCCAACTCGCCCAGTTTGACTGCACAAAACAACAGTATTGAATCGCGTTAATATTCATAGAAATGTTATGAGAATATCCGGTAAAGCTTTTGGCCTAACTTGGTGTAAATTTTCCGCCATTTTGGTCATTATCAACAATTTAGCGGATTCATTAATGGGTGAAAATTTAGGGAGGTCACCTTATCCGCACATTTTTATTGTCGCAAGATTTTCTATTGGTATGAGCTAGGTTCTAAAACTTTAGAACCAAACTATAGTATGCTGTTTTTCTGTCTTCATTTTTCAACAAGATAAAATTTATAAAAGACTCGTCAGTATGAAAGTAATCTCTCGATTCATTAAACTGACTCCAGAAAATTTTCTCGAAGTATCAATTTTCGTTGAATCTTTTCAGGAATATTATATAAACCTCACGTCCTCATGAGCAACTTTAAAACACACAACACAACGGACCTACCTTGCGACTGCGCGATCAGTACAGTTGCATTGAGCTCCCATACTTTCTCCTGGGCTTCCTGTGCCGATGCGAGTGACCGCTGACCACATTCTAATGCGTCCTGGTAATTCTTCTGTTCCAGGTAACATCGTCCTATTTCATGATGCAACCACGTGGTTTCCAAAGGTGTCTTGCTCAATGGTAGTTTTTCCATCCAGCTATCTATGGCTTGAGCGAACTGACCGATTCTCGCATGACAGCGGCCGATGTTATCCAATGCACGAGATATACCGTCTCTGCTTTCACTACACAAAGCAAGATGTGAAATTTTGACTTAAAGTGTCACCACTATGATTTTTTATATGTAATATTTGGGTCATTCAGTTTGAGTTTTAACAGCTTGTACTAGAAAAACAAATTTTCAATTCACGTACAGTTTCTTAGAAATATTCAAATCTTTTTTGTGATTCTCCAAAGCTTTTGCAGGCTCGCCTAATTCCAGCTGAGCATTGCCAATGCAGGAATGTAGATTTGCAACGACTTCTTGTTTGTTGGGTATTGCTTTATCGTTCATGCCTTTCACCTGTCGTAGCGTGTTCTCAGCCTGTTTTAAACTGCCTTGCTCGTCACCGTCAGATAATTTCTGGTCGATTTCGTCCAGAGAGCGAACGACAAAGTCGGCAGGATCTTCGGTTTTTTGTTTGGGTTTATTCCGGTGTAGTAAGGGTTTCTCTTTCTTGCGTGCATACAGTGGTTTCTGTTGACGCCAGAATTCAGTGCGCGAGTCCAGGTAGTTTATACCACCAGAGATCAGTCCATAGATTGTGCTGTCATTGTTGCCTTGGACGAAACCTAGAAGATGGAATGTACACCCTAAGACAAGATTCACAATTTGAGGAGACTCAACAGTCAATAACTAGACCACCAGGTTGGAAATCAAAGGCTGCTTATTTTCAACAAGGCAGACTCATACACAACCATATACAGTACAAGCTTAAATTTTGCGACAACATGACATTCAACAGTCACTGTACATCCCTGCACATACATCCACAAGCAAATAAGTTACAAATCCCTATATATAATATATTAGCGAAATATTTAGTGTTTTAAGCTGATTTTAACAAAAACTTCGGCGATTATGTTCGTGAGGTCAACTATGCTGTTTGCTCTTCAATTTTGACTGTGCAATTTCACACGTGTTCTTTTGACTGCTAAAAATCACGTTTTTAGAAGATAAAGATCTGATTTCAAATTTATTAGAGAGTTTAAGCTTCGCGTTTATACGTCAAACGGCAAACGCCAGGAAAAGAAAAAAATTACGGTATCAGGCAATAAAGAGTAAATGAGCTTGTTGTTTTAAAACTGCAGTGCATGATTATTCTTTCGACACAAGAAAGAAAATATGGAACGAAAACGTTCAACGAAAATTATGCCAAGAAAGTTCGAAACTGCCGTTTGCCGTTGCCCGGAAACGTGAAGCTTAAACTCCCTATTCCTTTTGGATGGGTAGATTGATAATCCTGGCTAGGTCCCTGTTTAGCATTATCCTAATGTTTGAAATTTTGTAATGTCCAGTCAGGATACAAGTCATTCACAATTTGGTATCCAAAACCAAATTCTAGTATCCTGTGGATATCAAGATACTGCAAATGTCTAACCCTGTTCAATAGTGAAACATAGCAGAAAAATTGCAAATACCTTTGTCATTTAATAAATTTTCCAAGTACTGTTTGTCTGCATAGAGTTCACCTAACAACTAAATTTGATTCAAAATACATGATGTGAGTTTAACTCAGTCTAAAGAATGGATCACGGTACAATTTCAATTTGATTGACACACAAATCTTCTTACTTGTTTGACAGTCTTTGTTGAAGATGGGGCAGGTTTGGTATTCTTTCCTCTGTTCGTCTGTTGTTGCTGTTGGCTTCTGTTCACAGCTTTTGGCTTCACATATCCTTTGGGCTTTTTCTATCCACAAACACACAAAATTAACAATAAATATATATAACGTATAAACTATGTGTGTGATGCACATGCAGAACAAGTATTGGGTGTATATGCTCACCACTTCATCTTGTTTTGCAAAGAATGATAGATCACCCTTATTTTCCAATTTAATTTTAGCAGCACCTGCAGAATACCAAAAGACAAAATTTACTCATTCAATTAATTGATAATCAAATTAACTATAATCAGGGTGCGATCATTCAAGATTTCTAGTCGTACCTGACTGGTACGCCAATGGTTGTTGCCGCGTACTTGCGCTATAACAAACTCAATACTCAATGTGTACTTAGTCTTTACAATAAGGTTCACAAAGTAGAGGTTTCTGAAAAGTATGTTCAGACTACGAGGTAGCAAACGGAGTTTTGCTATTTGAAAAGGGAGTTTTGCTATTTGAAGAGGCAGTTTTGCTTATTTGAAAAGAAAGTTTTGCTATTTAAAAACGGAGTTTTGCTATTTAAAAAGGGAGTTTTGCTATTCGAAAAGGGTGTTTTGCTATTTGAAAAGGGAGTTTTGCTCTTTGGAAAGGGAGTTTTGCCATTTGAAACGGAAAGGGTGTTTTGCTATTTGAAAAGGGTGTTTTGCTATTTGAAAAGGGAGTTTTGCTATTTAAAAAGGGAGTTTTGCTCTCTGAAACGGGAGTTTTGCTTTTTGAAAACGGAGTTTTGCTATTTGAAAACGGAGTTTTGCTATTTGAAAAGGGTGTTTTACTATTTGAAAATGGTGTTTTGCTATTTGAAAAGGATGTTTTGCTATTTGAAAAGGGTGTTTTGCTATTTGAAAAGGGTGTTTGCTATTTGAAAAGGGATTTTTGCTATTTGAAAAGGGAGTTTTGTTATTTGAAACGGAAAGGGAGTTTTGCTATTTGAAAAGGGAGTTTTGCTCTTTGGAAAGGGAGTTTTGCCATTTGAAAAGGGTGTTTTGCCATTTGAAAAGGGTGTTTTGCCATTTGAAAAGGGAAGTTTTGCTATTTGAAAAGGGAGTTTTGCTATTTGAAAAGGGAGTTTTGCTCTCTGAAACGGGAGTTTTGCTATTTGAAAACGGAGTTTTGCTATTTGAAAACGGAGTTTTGCTATTTGAAAAGGGTGTTTTACTATTTGAAAAGGGTGTTTTGCTATTTGAAAAGGATGTTTTGCTATTTGAAAAGGGTGTTTTGCTATTTGAAAAGGGTGTTATGCTATTTAAAAACGGAGTTTTGCTATTTCAAACAACCGACTCCAACGTTTCTTAGTGCCATCAGTGCAATCATGTTTCATGCCAAGACATCTCAGACACATGATATACCAACTAAATTACGGTATTGAATACCTTGGACTTGGAAAGGTCATGTGCTACCAGCAAAAAATAAGTACGCAGCTAGCAAGAGTTCCGCGTACCTACGTTGTACGTGGCTGAAAACAAAGAAGTACCAGACAGTAATATGGTCTAATATTGGCGTACGTATGCAAATTATCGAACCCTGCTATAATTATCTATTTATTATATTCTTACGTCCAATAGAGTTATCGATGGCTTCTTGCGCTTTCTGTATGCCCAGCCTGAACTCCTGTTGTTCAGGTCTCAACTTGTTTCCACGGTGATAGAATACCAAAGCATGCTCAAAATCTCCCATCGAGTAAAGTGCTTCTGCTTTCTGGTATAAAGCCTATAGTGAATCAGATAAAAATAAGGGTACATATAGCACACATACTCAGAACATCAACAAGTTTTCCCACCCCACCTAGAGAAATTTACACCCCCCTGAAATTTAAATGCTTTTGTTGGATTGAATGACAGTGGTATTATTGAAATAAGGATTTTGTACCAAATAAAAAGTCTCAAAATTTTCCACTTATCCCCCTAACTTCCCCACCCGGGTGACCACACCCCTGCAGACTGTGCCCCTACACCCCTGTAACTCCCCTGCTAAATTTTCAGCGCCCCGAAGAGCAAAATCTGAAAATCCATCTATGGGTTGTCCCTTATTTCAAATGCATTTAGCAGTTTGATCCTTGCCAAAGAAATGAAGAAATTCTTACCCGTATAAATTCTTTGTCATCCTCTAGTGCTGTTTCAGCATCTTTCAAAGCAGACTCGGTATCTCCAAGTTGAAGATGACATCTGGATCTTGCAACAAGAGCAAATTTCTCCGTCGGCTTCAGTTCCAAAGCCTGGTGATGGAAAAAACCCCGTCAAGTTCCTTCCACTTGAAGAAAGGGAGACAGCACACCACTGCCTCAACAGGACCACCCACCCCTCCTGGGAATATTTGGATTGTACAGTTTTGGCCTGGGTGGAAATTAGTCTCCTGCGCAAATTCCCTCAATTTGTGAAAACGGCAAACAAATTTTGGAGAATCTGTGCAAAATTTCTATGTGAACACAAATTTCTGATTTGACAAAAACACTTTCTAACTGCAGGAACTCTGCAGAAACCTATTAACACTTTCTAACTGCAGGAACTCTATCTGGACACCACAATGTTTCATGCAAACATTTTCTACATTTCTCACACACACAGACATATATTAAACTGGGACTCTGTGGGCTTTTGAGTTCATTCCCAGTAAAAACATACACTTCCTTTTGACGTCTTTTACTTTAATATCTTCAGTGAACAAGGAAAATGAAATATATTTTTTTACGTTTTCACAAAACATTTAATTTAAACTGTATGTGTATTAAAATAAGTCCTCCAATAGAAATCGTCAAATAAAATTTCCGTGTCTGACCTACGCTTAACGACCTTAACTAAAGTTAAGAACTGTTTAAAACGAAGACAAAACTTCCACAAAACATACGAACCAAATTATAGCTATCTAGCGCTTTCTTGAACTCCCCCTGCTTGAATAAAACGTCTCCTTCGGCTAAATATGTCGTGAACGAGCTCTTTGGCCCTTCTTCTTGCTCTTCGTCGTCGTCGTACATTGTTTAAAGACGAAAAACTGCTAAAATTTGTCTAGATTTTCAAAATTTTGCTCCAGAAACAGCCAAGCTTCTTGTTGTAAATTTTGATTTTCTGGTTTATTCGTGCTTGTTACCATGGAAACAGTGACATTGAAAGCTGCTGGTCGCAAGGATTGCGGGCACTCTGTTTCGCAAATGACTGAACAACTTTGCAACAACATTGCAACCAACTTTGCAACAACTTTGCAACCAACAACAACAACTGTCTGTGTAACTGTGTTGACATTTCTGAAATTGACCATCTTAGACACTTTAGAGTGTGACAGATTGACACAAGGCCAATCTGATGGTCAACTCCAAAACTATATTGCTCATCTCTAGCAATATCTCAGAGCCAATATCTCTTAACTGCTGAGGAGACTTTTTGCCTCCATTTGACTGTTGAGCACCATCTGTCATTCTGTGCTTCCTTAAACCCCACCTGTATGCTATAGTTGACGTATTTGTTGTGAGCTGTGCCAACTGCACATCATTGCTCAATAAAGTCGAGTTCTTATAAATATTTGGCGAATGCTTGAAAACCAGATTGAATCGATGGGATTTTCTATTTCGATTCCATTTACTCATAATATATCACAGGCACAGTTGTATTTTAATAGTGGTAACCACAGCCCAAATTTTAATAGTGGTCACCACAAACAAAATACCCCCTGTACAAGAATACAACTTGTAAATTTTTTTTTCTGAGTAAAATATATTCTATTCTATACAACAGTAAAGGCCCTGTTACACGGTGCAATTTTTCATGCAACTTGTCTCGCAATGTTAAAAAAAGATTTTGATAATGCATTGCAAGAGGTGTTACACGCTGCAATGATATTTATGCAACTCGCAACGATACGGGACAGAGGCATGCGAAGAGAATAGGGAGAGGCGCTATTTGGCGCCAAATTTTAATCAGTAAAGTAAAGCGTGTACTGGGGAGAGCCAATAGGAACTCTCCTAGCATTAATTAAACATTGCGAGACAAGTTGCACGAAGCCATGTTACACGCTGCAATGCTAAAAATAATTAGTGCAATCGTTGCCAAAAGTAGAACCGACTTCTACTCTCTGCAATGCTTCATGCAACTTGTCTCGCAAAGATTTTGACCATTGCAAGGCATGCTAAACGGTGCAATGACTCGTGCAACTTGTCTCGCAACGCCATTGCGAGACAAGTTGCATGAAAGATTGCACTGTGTAACACGGCCTTAAGTCGAGAAAATCAAAGTTAAAGTTTAATATGTAAATCAAGCGAAATCTCTTTCACATATATAGATACGACACGCTTATGATTTTTCTTTGTGTTTTCCTCATGAATTGATAATGAGTTTTTGAAGTCAATGTATAATAATTATAAATTATGTTTGCATCAATTTTTTGTTTATATATATATATATATATATATATATATATATATATATATATATATATATATATATATATATATATATATATATATATATATATATATATATATATATATATATATGAATGGGTGTGAGGTACCATGACTGGATACAACCTCGTTCCCAGGGCTTTTCCCTTTTTGTCATTGGGAAGGCGGGAAAAGGCCCTGGCACCGGCCGGTCTTCTATGTATTCTGATTGGTCAATGACAAGTATATTATTATGCAAATAATGCAATCTTGGATTAATTTATTCAAACTTTGGGATAAATTAACATTTTCACGCAAGGAGTGTCCAATTGTCCATTATTAATACTTTGTCCGTCTAAGAAATATTTTTGGCAAAATCTGTGGCAAAATGGTTAAATTCGATAAGATTTATATACAATTTGTCGAAGGTTAGTATTATTGTTTGTTTTAAACTGTGAGAGAAGATTAATTGTGTACTAGAACACACCTCTGAGGCTCTGACCGAGTATTTAGGGCAAAATGTGCCTTCATTGGCTTCGTATAGCGTTAATGTTTATATTTACAGTTATTAAACTTAAAAGTCTGGGTTTATAAACTGAAACATGACCTTTAATTTTTGATATTCTTCATAGTCGAGTTTAAATTGGCCAAATTTATAGTTAGTTACCACTAGAAATGCGACGATATTTTGTTATATCATATATGCAACAGTGTTTACAACTTTTGAATAATATGTGATTTGGTTTTGTTTCAGATACTATTACATGTTGCTTCATTTTACCATAAATTGTGTTAAAAAAGTGATTTGCTCATTTGGCTGATGTTACAGTTTTCTGATGTGTTTTGTTTTGATGATATTAGAACAATTTCAATATGAAAGTGCAGGTGTCTTTAGACATGAGCCATAATGTATATATGTCAAAATACTGATAAAATCTGTTTCCAGCTTGATTGTATTTGCATTGTTGCAGACAAAGTTGTGCAATGGTGGGTTTATGTCACATACTCGTATGTAATTCCATGTGCATGCTTGTACTTTGATGCCTCAAGAGATGCTTCGAATGTGTAATAAAGGGCTGTTCGCAGGAGTTGGGCTGTCTGGCCTTAAATTGCATTGTTTTTATGATATTTTAAGATTGTATTCATATGGCTGGACCATCTTGCCATTGCCACAATGTCTGATGTTTAAACAGGCTTTAAAATCAGATTACAATGCATGCTTGAAAATATGCAACAATTTCACTGCTAATAATATTCCAGAAAATCCTGCCTCTTGGGCAGATCTGGACTGATTTGTCAGAGGGGGTTGGAGGTTTTCTACTTGTGATCGGGCAAGGGGAGCTAGCCAAAGGTGCTGGGTCAGAGTCAAACTCATGTGAACAGCTTCTAAGTCCTAATTATATTGATAAATTATGTACACTTTGGGATGGTAATGCAATTTGTAAAATATTCCACATTTTATTTAATAAAATTTAATTATATACATTGTTTTTGTTGTTTATATTAACACCTTGGACAGTGTATATTTACACCTTTGGACCCTGTAAATAAACACCTTTGGAGGGTGTATCCATTCTAAGCCAAAGACGTTTAAGAACAATTATCAAGGTATTTGCATGATAAAATATATTTAAAACTGCTCTCCATATACATGTAATGCATGGTTCAATTCTTACTTTTACCAAGTAAACCCAGGGATTTTCAATGTCCCCCTCCTCCCGTAGAATTTACTTGAAGTGACTGGGGCAAGGTTGCTGTAAGTATAAGTAGGTATATAAAAGTCAATTAAAATTTACAAATAGAGCTTTTTGAATATAGACTATTGCAAAATTTTTTTTTAATTTGTTGAACCCTTTGTAGTGGCAATGTGCCCTACTTTAGCATAATACTCCGTCTGGTGCCAGACAATTTTACTCAAGGGCAGAATGTAGACTTGCCACAAGTCGACCTCGAACGAAACGTCGGCCCACACTCGCTGCTTGCGTTTCGTTCGAGGTCGACTTATGGCACGTCTAGGCAGAATGCTGCCACTCAATGAGCTAATATATTCTCAGAACAGTTACCATCAAATTAAATCTATTTTGCTGGCAAAATTGCCTTGGAGGGGGTCCTTTATTTATTGAATCTTTTTTGGGGGGGAGGGGGGTAGTGTTGTAAAAAACAGAATAGCAACTGGTTTCAGAATAGGAAGAATTGTTATAAGATAGGTAATTCATTGTAGCTCTTATAGTGTATGTTGCAACAGGGATGGATTTACTGGGGGGAGGGGGGGTTGCACCACCCCTAGCTCTGGCCAGAGGGGGTGCAGGGGGGTGCTATTTTTCATGATAAAGCAAAAAATTATTACAGGCAAAATGAGATACAGTAATTTGAGTAATAACATGATGATAAGCGAGCTGTGAACAACAATTACAATTCAAATACAGGACTTTGCAGTAGTGAAGCAAGTTGATGGGCGGGCGGCACACATGACCGAAACATCTCGGCACCAGAGCTGGCAGAGCACCCCCCCCCCCCTACCTGATCATGCTGGATCCATCCCTGTGTTGCAAAATGTATTTTCTTCATAGTCAGGCATTCACATGAATGAAGATTAGAATTGCATCATGTTATATAGTATACAAATAATGAATGTTTATGAGTGCAATGGTAAGAATATTTTTATGAGGTGAAAGATGGAATGTTCCATTCCATTGAATGGAACATTCCATCTTTCACCCAATGAAAATATTCTTACCATTGCACGAATAAAAACATTCATTATTTGTTTTATATAATACCAAAATAGACTAATATTAAAAGGTTTACTGTAAGCTCCTGCCATTTTGACGAGTCGTATTTGCATTAAATCCCATTTACTGAGCTTCGAATATCGGATTAAAATAAACTGCGATCACCGTACGAGAAGTATTTTGACGGATGCGATTTATCTAAAACACAAAGAGTGCAATGGAATGAAACGTATAGTACAATTGCACTCGCAAGAGTGCAATGGAACTTATTCCATTGCACTCTTGGGAAATGGAATTTTCTATTCAGTATCACGTGACCAGAAACAGCCAATTAAACGATCAGAATTCAATAAGGTATTATATAATCTTAAATATTTAGGAGGAGTCCCCATTGTTAAATTAAGAGATTAATTTAAAAAGGGCCCCAAGGGTGGGGACCCCACTAGGGTATAATGAATGGTCACTTAAGTACATGCCATCTTCTAACTGGTTGGGCACCTTGCCCCTTTTGTTATGGAAAATCTATTCCCTACCTTTATCCCCTGGGACAAAAAAATTCAAATCAACCCTCCGCCCTGATAATGTGCAGATGGTAACAGCAAGAATTGAAGTAAGCAAGCCTTACTGGAGTACATACTATTATTAGGAAGCATCAATTCGCACAAGCTAATTTGCCAGTCATGATTTTAAACGTAATATTTCTTATCTCATATAGAATTCTTAAGGTCTTGTTTACATTTTACTGGAAGCAAACTAAGATGCATATCCAATATTTGGGTCATATCACTCATATGTCAGTTTTGCAGCTTGCCAGCTTCAACTGTTCAACAACATTTGGCTGCAAGGAAAACGTAAACAAGGAAAGAGCATATAACACTTCATCTGTGTTTAAAATATCAATGAATAAATATTCCAACCATTGGCACTTTATAATATAAGTGACATTCAACAATAGATCAATAACATATACAGTATATGGAAAAACATTTATTTGAATCACTGTATAAAATATTCCTCATAAACTCGCTCCAATCGTCGTACAGCAGTCTTTGGAAGGGTAAAACCAAGTTTAACGTCCCCAGTTCAAAACACTTTCCGTGTCCTCTTAGGCAAGCCTGTCCAGCTGGAGAACATCTGTCGTAATACTATATAATTTTGGCTGTTAATTTTGTTTAGCGAACGAACGATATTTACCAAACCCAGTTGGAAGAACAGCAACTACATAGTTCCCATGTAATAAAAGATGAAGAATTTCACTTCGAGTACGTCGGTAGCAAAAAGAAGGAAAAATTTCACAGACTAAACGCATTTTTAAGCCGCTCTAAGCTCTTAAATTTTGTGGACACTCTTAGTTTGGCGGCCATCTTGGATTTTCTAATTCATTATTATTATAATTTGTTACACCCACTATACCTGGGTGTTGAAAGTCATGTGATCGGCCGGTGCCAGGGCCTTTTCCCGCCTTCCCAATGACAAAAAGGGAAAAGCCCTGGGAACGAGGTTGCTATTTAGCAATTATAATCGGTTGTTCAAAAGGTCACTGTCAACTTAATTGTATTTCAAACTACAGTAGGCTCTATTAGAAATTGCGAATATTTATTTTCGTTATAATGTTAAACAGCAACATAAATTGTTCTGTATATATGTGGCTTGCATGCACGTAACAATGTACGTACATGCACGTAACAATCGCTAACTCTTTATTTAAGATATATAAATTATAGGATTAGTATACAATGATTGGTTTGGTCAACTATAAATCGGCGGTGCATCTTAGTTTTACTATAAGACATTAAGAAAAATAGTGATATTGATTAAAATTTTACATACTTAGAGTTTGCAAATTCTACGGATATTCACTAAATGAACTTACTAAATTGTTCGATTCATTGATCCTGTCGTTATTTTACTATGCAATTGAAGTATGGGGATCGGCTTTGCAAGCGAAATACATTGATAAATTCAACAAGTTTCTCAATCGTGCATTCCGATATGGATACACTCAGAATAAATATTCAATGGCCAAGATGATTGAGGAGAGGGATCAATTATTGTTCAATAAGGTCGTGCACAATCCTGAACATTGCCTATATGAGTTGTTACCGGAAGAACGTCGACGACCTTTAAGAGAACGCGATCATCAATTTATGTTACCAAAAGTTCACACAGAACGTTTTAAACAATCCTTTTTGAACAAGTGTCTTTTCAATGACTTTTAGTTTTAAAATTTTGTTATATACGATATATAATATTAACTATAATGCATGTAAATAATTTAATTTAGAAATAATACTAAATTTGTAAATAATCTAATTAACATTTCTCATAGGCACTGAACGTTTTAATAATTACTATATATATATATTTATATATATCTTATATGCACTGTAAAGATGCACGTTTGTTGAGACTTCAATTTTTAATAAAGACGTATAATAATAATAATAACATGCAGTGAGTACTACAGCCAGGTGTACCTTGAAGGTTTTAGTTTGAAAAATCAAGTCACCTTTTAAAGAGCCGTATTGAATATTTTACACAGAATATAATATAATATATATATATATATATATATATATATATATATATATATATATATATATATATATATATATATATATATATATATATATATATATATATAAGCCTATATATGCATCAAATTGAAAACTTTGAAAGGATTACAACAAAGGTATCTAAGATAATTATAGTGTCTTATTTAATATTCAAAGAAATAGACAGTAATCATGATCTGAATGGTAGGTATCTACAATTTCGACAACCACTAGGTCATTGCTGTTGATATACACGTGATCTAAAATTGGACCATAGTCTGTTGTAGGTACCTTAACAAATTGGTAGAATCCCAACTGGTTCATATACTGGACAATATCGTGGTTTGGAAATTGGAGAAGATCAATATTAAAATCTCCCAGAATAATTGTCAGTATGTTTCTTCGGAGTTGGTTGACAAGATTGTGGAACTTTTCATTGAATGTTGAAGGAATCATGGATGGTGGTCTGTAGATGGATACAATATTAACCTGGGTTGTATCTTTAGTGACAGCTAGTGCAAAGTATTCCAGACCTTGGATTTCTAAATTGTAGCGCAATGGTGAGAGTTCTGTTGAGGCAAATGTCATCAATCCACCTCCTCTTCCCAGTAACGAAGGTCTGTCTGCTCTGAAACATCTGGTTTCTGGTAGGATCTGTTCATTTTCCCGCAAAAGTTGTCCTTCTTTTAAGAATGTCTCAGTAAAGCAAAAAAACGTCGGTGGGATTTAGAATGTGATCAATTTTCAGGTCTTGTAGATGCTCCAAATAAGATCTGATATTGAGGAGTCGAATTGTTAACCATTCATCATGAGGGAACTCGGTAAGTGGTTGAATTGGTGGTATTGGGTCCTGTTAGAGACGGGCCATTTCTGTCTGTGCTGAAGGATTAACTCGGAATGCCGTGGCATATCATATCCTAAAAGATGTAGGCATTGTTCGGTCTTTACTCGACTTACAGCAACGTAAGCTTGACCAGGCATAAAGCGACCCCTTCCTTTCATTGAAACGACAATTGAATCCAAAGTCTTACCTTGAACTTTGTGAATGGTGCACGCCCATGCAAGAGTCAGTGGGAATTGTGTACGTATAGCTTGTACCGAGCGTCTCCCTCTTCCTGTGTAAAATTGCACATCTTGTCGTTTGATTGGAACAGCGGTGAGATAGGTTTGTCTGTATTGATGACTTTCAGCAATCGCCTTGACGCCAACTCGTCTACTGTCAAATTGGACTAGAATGGCATGAACATTGTCGTCTGTGCTGTCAATACCCACCACAGAACCACAAACTCCGTTTGCTAACCCATGAGAAACATCGATATTTACAATCAGCATGATTCTCGCTCCGACGGCTACCGACACAACCTCGCGTAATCCACCTGTTTCAGATGGCTTAGTAGAAATTACAACGTCAATCAGACCAGTGTTAACATCCTTCTTCTTATAGATAGCCTTTATATGAAATAGTCGAGCTGTAAGTTTTCGTAAATGACCGGAGTTGTATTTGACCACGTCTTTGTTTGTTTTAAATACATACCGCGACTCTGTTGGGTATGAAACGTCGGATTTGGAAATCTCTCTAGATTTCAGCAAGGCAATATCTTCTTCTGAATAGTTGGCTATTCTTACATTGATGAGTACCTGAGCAAAAACTTGGTCTTCTCGTTGACGCATGTTCTCCGTTAACTCAAATATACGGAAGTTTTCTTCCCACAGGGAACCATGTAGTCGCGCGTAACTGAAAATAGAGAAACGTAACAATCAAAGGATAGAAGAAATTGGTGTGTAGTATGTTGGTATAATTATTATAATTTTAGTCTAATCAAACTATAATCTTATTAAATTAATTACATTAGAAAGTTAATGTAGACAATTTTAAACAATTTATCATGTTTGTTTCACTAACCTGTCTGATGGAAGGCCAAAGACATAATTTGACCAACAGGTTGCAGCTGATACAAGTCTCCAACGGCCAATATGCTTATTCCTCCAAAGCGATCTGATTTTCCAGTGATGTCTTGCAGGCGACGCTGAATGTGGTAAAGCAAATCTGCACCTACCATGGAAACCTCATCAATGACCAGAAGCTTTAATTTTCCTAAGCGTGATTGCAGAGTATTCAGTCTCTCGCTGCTTGCTGGTTGATATTGGGATTTATTGTTTGGGCCACAACTGAGGCCTAGAGCTGAGTGCAGGGTCATTCCTTCAATGCCAAAAGCTGCGGTTCTAGTAAAAGCGGTCAATAATTTGGAAGTTCGTCTGGTTCAAAATATCCTGACAACATTTTCAGTAGCTTCATAGTTTCGTAATACACTAATTTTATTATATGGCTTTTCCCGACCCCACCTGGTCCACTCAGAAAGATTCTTTACACTGGAGATGGTAAGTCATGTTTCAACGCAATAATTGTATCTTTGCACCATTTGGGATGAATTTTAAGAACTTGGAGTTGCTGTTTGTTTAAAGAGCGCATCATAGCTCTATATTCTTGAACAGTCATCAGTGTTTTACCAAGTTGGGCTGAATAACGTTCGTGAGGTTCAGAGCGATTTGCAGTTGTAGAGTTTGAAACTAAATCGACGTTTTCATTGGGCTCATTGTCTCGTCCAATTTCTCTCTCTGTTACTGTTCCTTGATCTTGCTGCTGTGCTTGTTGATATTCAGCGTTTGGGGCAACAGTATCCCAAATATTCTCTGGCGGCCCCCATCTTTCTAAATCGTCATAAGCTCTGGCATTTTCATCAGCGTTCTGACTGAACATGGCTTCATTGGAACGAATTATTGCTTGAATATGTTGGAAATGTTCTTTAAAAGATTCAAAATTGGCTTTCAAATTTATGTCTTCGTTTCGCCATGGATAATACAGCATAATTAAATTTCTGTATTTTTCTTCTTCAGATTTTTCTTTGTGGAACCTATATACATTAAAGTGTATATGAGACATCTCGAATGTAAATTCTATGGGCATGCATATTTACAAACTCGTAGTCTAAGTATTCTTCCTTGAACTGTGTTTACTATTCCTATATTCTTTTCAACCTACCTTATGACACAGTGCCGTTTCCGTTTTCTCATACTGCCAAGACCATTCTTTAACTTTATTGTACTTGAGACAGATTGCTGGATTGTGCTGTTATCGTCAATGGATTCATGATCGCTTTCTTTACAGTCTGTCGTGTAGGTTGCTGCAAATTCAGCAAAAGACATATTTTCTAATTCATTTGGACGAGATGCGTATCTATCAAGAAGTGATGTGCAGAAAATGTCTTCATCATTGTCATCCATATTTTCTAAAATGCTTTGAGGCTTCAGCATTGACACTCTTTTGCTTCTTGGTGCTGTGTTTCCAAACACTACTTTTCTACTTGCGTATTTTAAAGGTAGAGAAAATAATCTGAATGCGGCTTCTTGCGCACTGACTGCTCTGTTGTTAAGAAATACCGAACAAAGCTTTTTTAACTAGCTTTTTATATCATCTTCTCTGCAATCATTTGCAACTTTCTTAAGTAATTCACTCATTGCTCTTTCGCTCTTCATCATATAACTTGTGATATACATGATACATGAGTAAAGATCTGTAATGAATTGCAAATCCATGTTCGCACGCCATGTTTGCAAGATTTTGGGATATATTGTATTGGTTGATCCATCTTTCAGAAGGCTGACGTTGGAGCTTGATACCTATTCTCGACTTCATTAGTTCAAGGCTCGCTCGTATAAGTGCGGTTCCACATTAGCTTTTTGTAGCAAGGACTGTAAAGTGATTTCCTCTGGAATGTTTTTGTCTTCCATCAACTATCGAACTTTACGAAGCACTTCTTGGTTTGTCTTTAGAACGTTTTGTAGAATAGTTGGATCGGATTCATCAGGTGGTCTTGCTATCAATGTTTTCCCGCTTGGTGGGTGAGGGAACCTAAACCTACATGAACCACGTTTTCTGCAAGTCGATGAGTGTACATGTTTTTGCAAGGAGAGGACAAGATTTCTTAGGTCGGTGTTTTCTTCATCAGGAATAACACATGTCTGGTATTTGTCAATGAAAGAGATAACTTCTTCGTCAGTATTGACATCAAGTTCAGGGGCATCTTTAATCCATAGAATTGTGTGTGCATGGGGAGATCCTCGAGCTTGAAATTCTATACGGATCATATAGTCTTGCAGTTCGCCAATTGGATTGGCCTTTCCGCCTATGAACTCTTTGAAGAATTGATCCAAGCGATGTTTGAATTGACGGGATGCTGTCACTGGGTTGGAACGTAACCATTTGCACTTTTCCAACCATGGCAAATTTTTTACATCATCGGCCGTCAGTACTTTACCATATTGATGTGCGATGCTCTGGATAACTTCAGGCCATTGCATATCTGCTGCGGAAAGAGTCAAAAACCATGTAGGCATTCCAAGTTGTCGCACCATGGCTAATAAATCTAGCAAAACAGTTTTCCAATAAGCAGGAGATCCACGAACATTCTTCAGAAACTTGAATGCTGTATCCGTACGAATCATAGCTTGTAGATTATCGGATGACTTAACCAGGCCAGCGTTTACCGTTCGGTTTTGGAATGATTGGCCACGAGTCTGTCGTAAAGTTATTTGCATATCATCCCGAACTTGTTTTGCTTCAACTGTATACTGTGCAGCCAAGAGGTAATCAATATCACTGGCGAATCGGCCATCTTTGTGTAATAACCTCTGATTAAAATATTTTCTGGCTGTGATTTTTCTCTGTCTTTTTGTTGATAGGCCGCCACGGCCATAAGGATATTTAGAAGGGTTAGCCAACTCCTCAAATTTTTCATCCATCAAGAATGCGCACGGTGTTTGATTTTCTTCAGGAGCTATAGAATATGTGCTGTCATCATTGACAAGTTGTTGTTCGTCTTGCAACAGGGTATCATATGGGATGCCTCGAAGTTTGCTTGTTTGCTCGTAGGCAATAATGTCTTCTTCGTCTTCAATTTGGTTGGTTGCTTCCTCAAAACGTGATTCATTTCTAATCGTCTCTTCAACATTTTCAAGAGCAACATAATGAAGTTCACCCATTTGGCCAAGTGTAATAGTATTGTCAGTCGTTTGCTGTCTGGGTTGAATTTGGTGTATCCAGTTAGGTGTGATCGTGTTAATAACCCTTACGTTAACGTTTAGCATATCAACCACACCTTGGACTGCCAGATTGTCTGCCCATTCGCCATTTCTTAGACGATTAACATATACCTCGAACTCCTGGAGTTGTTGTTCTTCTGTGGAGAGAGAATTGGTAAAAGTAGTGTCGTCAAATTCAAGAAAAACCATATAGTGACGTTTCTCGTCTGTTGTCTGAAAATACTGGATAAGTGCAGCTCGAATATCTGGACCACTAATGACTTGTATTCCAGCTGCACGAAGACAAAATGATACCGCATGAAAGAAACAATTCCCATCTCCGGGTACATCTTTAATCTTCAAGTTATTAGTTATGTCTTCTGGCTAAATGTGTTAACAGCTGATAATCATTTCCATTTGGTGAAAGTGAAAGGGTAGTATCAGATTGTGAAACATGACATTCATTCAGGCTGCCTGTTGCGGTGTCGGAATTCTCAATAGCTTGGTCCACAATACTTTGTTCCTCACATGCCCTTGTCATTGCATTCCAGAGATCAGCGTCGTCTTCTTGCCAATATGTTTCCCAGTCCTCACAGACATTGATGTCGTTGTAAAGCTGATTATTTTCTTGCAACCAGCGAAGAGCATCCATCACCCGTTTCAGCCGAACGCATTCGTACATGTAATGTCCCTTGTAGGCAAGTTTTCTCTTTAGCTTTACTGCTACAACTTCAGCACTGTTTGGGAGCCTTGGTAGTAAGGACGTGACTTGCTGTAGCTTACATAGTACATTGACAGCACTGCCATGGATTGCTTTTTGTCCTCCTCTGGGTAGTCCAACAAGTTTCATGAAAGGGATTCGTTGGCTTATCAGTCTTAATTCTAATGGTCTCAAGTCTTTCAATTCAGGTGGGATGTCATCCAATGTTACCCGTTTGCCCATGGCTGCGTAGGTATTTTTCCTTTCTTTAATGCGTTATGGCAAGTACTGCATACCCAAGATTTTCCATGTGTTTTGACAACAGTGCAGGAATTAAGAATCCTTTCGATGGGTTTAGTCGACAAATACTTTTCACGGTTCATCTGAACAACAGATGTTTTGTAAAGGAGGCGATAGCAAGAACAACATGCGTATATGGGTCCTTCAGCTATAGTCCGTGTGTTGTGACCCGATATCGTTCACTTTCATTAAGCATGTCTTAGATCTGAAATATTTTTACGGGAACTAACACTTTCGAACACACTGAGTTCAAATCCGAAAAGTTCCCACTCCGTAGACCCGCAGTTTTTTCACAAAATGCTATTTTATCTTCACTAATTTCACA